TTCAGTAACAATAGTAGCTGAACCTGAATCACTGATCAAGTCACTTGGAGTAGATGAGTTGTAACCAATGGAGGCTGATTCGGTAACAATAGTAGCTGAAACTGAATCACTGATCAAGTCAATTGGAGTGGATGAGTTGTAACCAACAGATGAGGATTCAGTAACAATAGTAGCTGAAACTGAATCACTGATCAAGTCACTTGGAGTAGATGAGTTGTAACCAATGGAGGCTGATTCGGTAACAATAGTAGCTGAAACTGAATCACTAATCAAATCACTTAGAGTAGAAGAGTTGTAACCAACAGATGAGGATTCAGTAACAATAGTAGCTGAACCTGAATCACTGATCAAGTCACTTGGAGTAGATGAGTTGTAACCAATGGAGGCTGATTCGGTAACAATAGTAGCTGAAACTGAATCACTGATCAAGTCAATTGGAGTGGATGAGTTGTAACCAACAGATGAGGATTCAGTAACAATAGTAGCTGAAACTGAATCACTGATCAAGTCACTTGGAGTAGATGAGTTGTAACCAATGGAGGCTGATTCGGTAACAATAGTAGCTGAAACTGAATCACTGATCAAGTCACTTGGAGTAGAAGAATTGTAACCAATGGAGGATGATTCGGTAGCAATAGTAGCTGAAACTGAATCACTGATCAAGTCAATTGGAGTAGATGAGTTGTAACCAACAGATGAAGATTCAGTCACAATAGTAGCTGAAACTGGAATCACTAATCAAGTCACTTGGAGTAGAAGAGTTGTAACCAACAGATGAAGATTCAGTAACAATAGTAGCTGAAACTGAATCACTAATCAAATCACTTGGAATAGATGAGTTGTAACCAACAGATGAGGATTCGGTAACAATAGTAGCTGAAACTGAATCACTGATCAAGTCACTTGGAGTAGAAGAGTTGTAACCAATGGAGGATGATTCGGTAGCAATAGTAGCTGAAACTGAATTACTGATCAAATCACTTGGAATAGAAGAGTTGTGACCAACAGATGAGGATTCACCTGCAGTATAGTATATGTAAGATCCACTAGTTGAACCAGAAGGTATAGATGAGTTGTAACCAATGGAGGATGATTTGGTAACAATAGTAGCTGAACCTGAATCACTGATCAAGTCACTTGGAGTAGATGAGTTGTGACCAACAGATGAGGATTCGGTAACAATAGTAGCTGAACCTGAATCACTGATCAAGTCACTTGGAGTAGATGAGTTGTAACCAACAGATGAGGATTCAGTAACAATAGTAGCTGAAACTGAATCACTGATCAAGTCACTTGGAGTAGATGAGTTGTAACCAACAGATGAGGATTCAGTAACAATAGTAGCTGAACCTGAATCACTGATCAAGTCACTTGGAGTAGAAGAGTTGTAACCAATGGAGGCTGATTCGGTAACAATAGTAGCTGAACCTGAATCACTAATCAAGTCACTTGAAGTAGATGAGTTGAGACCAACAGATGAGGATTCACCTGCAGTATAGTATATGTAAGATCCACTAGTTGAACCAGAAGGTATAGATGAGTTGTAACCAATGGAGGTTGATTCGGTAACAATAGTAGCTGAACCTGAATTACTGATCAAGTCACTTGGAATAGAATAGTTGTAACCAACAGATGAAGATTCAGTCACAATAGTAGCTGAACCTGAATCACTGATCAAGTCACTTGGAATAGAAGAGTTGTAACCAATGGAGGATGATTCGGTAACAATAGTAGCTGAAACTGAATTACTGATCAAGTCACTTGGAGTAGAAGAGTTGTAACCAATGGAGGATGATTCGGTAGCAATAGTAGCTGAACCTGAATCACTGATCAAGTCACTTGGAATAGAAGAGTTGTAACCAATGGAGGATGATTCGGTAACAATAGTAACTGAAACTGAATCACTAATCAAGTCACTTGAAGTAGATGAGTTGAGACCAACAGATGAGGATTCACCTGCAGTATAGTATATGTAAGATCCACTAGTTGAACCAGAAGGTATAGAAGAGTTGTAACCAATGGAGGCTGATTCGGTAACAATAGTAGCTGAACCTGAATCACTGATCAAGTCACTTGGAGTAGAAGAGTTGTAACCAATGGAGGATGATTCGGTAACAATAGTAGCTGAAACTGAATCACTAATCAAGTCACTTGGAGTAGAAGAGTTGTAACCAATGGAGGCTGATTCGGTAACAATAGTAGCTGAACCTGAATCACTGATCAAGTCACTTGGAGTAGATGAGTTGTGACCAACAGATGAGGATTCACCTGCAGTATAGTATATGTAAGATCCACTAGTTGAACCAGAAGGTATAGATGAGTTGTAACCAATGGAGGCTGATTCAGTAACAATAGTAGCTGAACCTGAATTACTGATCAAGTCACTTGGAATAGAATAGTTGTAACCAACAGATGAAGATTCAGTCACAATAGTAGCTAAACCTGAATCACTGATCAAGTCAATTGGAGTAGAAGAGTTGTAACCAACAGATGAAGATTCAGTCACAATAGTAGCTGAACCTGAATCACTGATCAAGTCACTTGGAATAGAAGAGTTGTAACCAATGGAGGATGATTCGGTAACAATAGTAGCTGAAACTGAATCACTAATCAAGTCACTTGGAGTAGAAGAGTTGTAACCAATGGAGGCTGATTCGGTAACAATAGTAGCTGAACCTGAATCACTGATCAAGTCACTTGGAATAGATGAGTTGTAACCAACAGATGAGGATTCAGTAACAATAGTAGCTGAAACTAAATCACTGATCAAGTCACTTGGAGTAGATGAGTTGTGACCAACAGATGAGGATTCGGTAACAATAGTAGCTGAAACTGAATCACTGATCAAGTCACTTGGAATAGATGAGTAGTAACCAACAGATGAGGATTCAGTAACAATAGTAGCTGAAACTGAATCACTAATCAAGTCACTTGGAGTAGAAGAGTTGTAACCAATGGAGGATGATTCGGTAGCAATAGTAGCTGAAACTGAATCACTGATCAAGTCACTTGGAGTAGAATAGTTGTAACCAACAGATGAAGATTCAGTAACAATAGTAGCTGAAACTGAATCACTAATCAAATCACTTGGAATAGATGAGTTGTAACCAACAGATGAGGATTCAGTAACAATAGTAGCTGAAACTGAATCACTGATCAAGTCACTTGGAGTAGAAGAGTTGTAACCAATGGAGGATGATTCGGTAACAATAGTAGCTGAAACTGAATCACTAATCAAGTCACTTGGAGTAGAAGAGTTGTAACCAATGGAGGCTGATTCGGTAACAATAGTAGCTGAACCTGAATCACTGATCAAGTCACTTGGAGTAGATGAGTTGTGACCAACAGATGAGGATTCAGTAACAATAGTAGCTGAACCTGAATCACTGATCAAGTCACTTGGAATAGATGAGTTGTAACCAACAGATGAGGATTCAGTAACAATAGTAGCTGAACCTGAATCACTGATCAAGTCACTTGGAGTAGAAGAGTTGTAACCAATGGAGGCTGATTCGGTAACAATAGTAGCTGAAACTGAATCACTAATCAAATCACTTGGAATAGATGAGTTGTAACCAACAGATGAGGATTCGGTAACAATAGTAGCTGAAACTGAATCACTAATCAAATCACTTGGAATAGATGAGTTGTAACCAATGGAGGATGATTCGGTAACAATAGTAGCTGAAACTGAATCACTAATCAAATCACTTGGAGTAGATGAGTTGTGACCAACAGATGAGGATTCAGTAACAATAGTAGCTGAAACTGAATCACAGATCAAGTCACTTGGAGTAGATGAGTTGTAACCAACAGATGACGATTCGTTAGCAATAGTAGCTGAACCTGAATCACTGATCAAGTCACTTGGAGTAGATGAGTTGTAACCAACAGATGACGATTCGTTAGCAATAGTAGCTGAACCTGAATCACTGATCAAGTCACTTGGAGTAGATGAGTTGTAACCAACAGATGAGGATTCAGTAACAATAGTAGCTGAACCTGAATCATTGATCAATTCACTTGGAATAGAAGAGTTGTAACCAATGGAGGGTGATTCGGTAACAATAGTAGCTGAACCTGAATTACTGATCAAGTCACTTGGAATAGAATAGTTGTGACCAACAGATGAGGATTCACCTGCAGTATAGTATATGTAAGATCCACTAGTTGAACCAGAAGGTATAGATGAGTTGTAACCAATGGAGGCTGATTCAGTAACAATAGTAGCTGAACCTGAATCACTAATCAAATCACTTGGAATAGATGAGTTGTAATCAACAGATGAGGATTCGGTAACAATAGTAGCTGAAACTGAATCACTGATCAAGTCACTTGGAATAGAAGAGTTGTAACCAACAGATGAGGATTCAGTAACAATAGTAGCTGAAACTGAATCACTGATCAAGTCACTTGGAGTAGAAGAGTTGTAACCAATGGAGGGTGATTCGGTAACAATAGTAGCTGAACCTGAATTACTGATCAAATCACTTAGAGTAGAAGAGTTGTAACTAATGGAGGCTGATTCGGTAGCAATAGTAGCTGAAACTGAATCACTAATCAAGTCACTTGGAGTAGATGAGTTGTAACCAACAGATGACGATTCGTTAGCAATAGTAGCTGAACCTGAATCACTGATCAAGTCACTTGGAGTAGAAGAGTTGTAACCAATGGAGGATGATTCGGTAGCAATAGTAGCTGAAACTGAATTACTGATCAAATCACTTGGAATAGATGAGTTGTAACCAATGGAGGATGATTCGGTAACAATAGTAGCTGAAACTGAATCACTAATCAAGTCACTTGGAGTAGAAGAGTTGTAACCAATGGAGGATGATTCGGTAGCAATAGTAGCTGAAACTGAATTACTGATCAAGTCACTTGGAGTAGATGAGTTGTGACCAACAGATGAGGATTCAGTCACAATAGTAGCTGAACCTGAATCACTGATCAAGTCACTTGGAATAGAAGAGTTGTAACCAATGGAGGATGATTCGGTAGCAATAGTAGCTGAAACTGAATTACTGATCAAGTCACTTGGAGTAGATGAGTTGTGACCAACAGATGAGGATTCAGTAACAATAGTAGCTGAAACTGAATCACTGATCAAGTCACTTGGAGTAGAAGAGTTGTAACCAATGGAGGATGATTCGGTAGCAATAGTAGCTGAAACTGAATCACTGATCAAGTCACTTGGAGTAGAAGAGTTGTAACCAATGGAGGCTGATTCGGTAACAATAGTAGCTGAAACTGAATCACTAATCAAGTCACTTGGAGTAGATGAGTTGTAACCAACAGATGACGATTCGTTAGCAATAGTAGCTGAACCTGAATCACTGATCAAGTCACTTGGAGTAGAAGAGTTGTAACCAATGGAGGATGATTCGGTAGCAATAGTAGCTGAAACTGAATTACTGATCAAATCACTTGGAATAGATGAGTTGTGACCAACAGATGACGATTCGGTAGCAATAGTAGCTGAACCTGAATCACTAATCAAGTCACTTGGAGTAGATGAGTTGTAACCAATGGAGGGTGATTCGGTAACAATAGTAGCTGAACCTGAATTACTGATCAAATCACTTAGAGTAGAAGAGTTGTAACTAATGGAGGCTGATTCGGTAGCAATAGTAGCTGAAACTGAATTAGATGTTGGATTGAAATGGCTTGACGTTTTATTGTAAGTAATGATATTTTCATTTGTTCTTGTGTTTACTGTGTCTGAACTTGGTTCGAGATATTCACTTATTTTTGATGAGTAGCTTGAAGAATAGGAAATTCTTGCTGTAGCTTTATATTTTGCATAAATCATGAAATAACGTGAATACGTACTCAGGTAGGGGAAACAAATTTTAGTAGTAAGTACTATTGAGCTTTCATTGGCTAATTTTTCAGTTGAATATTCTATTTTTATGGATGAACTACTCATTTTATTTGATTGGATGCCCTCTGCTGACAATATGTCAGAGGAATGTGGATATTTATTTGATGATGTAATTAATTTAGAAATTTCAGTCAATGAAGGTAAATGGGATCTATGCAATGATTTAGTAGAATTAATAGACTTGAGCGAAGTTGGATAAACACTTGGATATTCTGTATCTATAATGGAAGTAAGCATAAAAGAAATTGTTTTGTTATCATTATCTTCAGATATAGATGATGGAGTTCTTTCATTTGAAACTAAAAACTGTGATGACTCCGAGAAATTAGAAATAAGTGAAGAAGATGGCATACCGTTATGAAATATTGACGATGCTTCATATAAAGATGAAGTTCCTTCAGATGATAAAATAATTAATGTCTCTTCAGAAATTGTAGTATAATTGTGATTTGTTAAAGATTGTTGATAGTCAAATGGAAGCTCGACTACATAAATAATTCTAGTTGTTTCAAGATTGTCAGTTCCAGTAAATGTGGAGGTGGTTGTAGCTTTCGTATTTATATTCATGACCAACGCAGTTGTGTAGGATGTCTCTTCACTAACTCGCTTAGGGGTCATAACTAAAAATATTGTTTCTGTTAATTCGTTACCTAAGTTATCAATAATTGTTGTAATAATAGTGGAATACGTTAATGTATTCGAATTCTCGCCAATCATAAACATTGTTGTTGAAGAACGACTTATAGGAGTCTGGACAAAATATATCGTTTCAGTTGTAGCATTTCCATCTGAATCAATCACGGTATTGACTAAAGTTGAGAATGTGGATGTAAAAGCTTCACTTCCATATGTATAATGTGTAGAAATGCTAATCCTACTTGGAGTTTCTACAAAAAATACGGTTTCAATTGTCTGATCATCATTTGAACCTTGGATTGTTAAAGTCTCTGTTGAAACTGTTGAAGTAAATGTGTTACTTCCAGCAATGAAATTTGTTTTTGTCAGATGATGCAGTAAGGTATGGACATAATATACAGTAAATGTAAATTCTTGTCCTAATGAATTGGTACTAGTTGTTACAATAGTGGTGTATGTCGTTGTACTAGAACTATCCCACCCTTCGAATGAAGTTATTTTGATTTCACGTACAGGGGTTTGCACGAGAAAAATTGTCTGAATGGATATATTATTTGATTCATCTAGATATTCGGTTGTTATGGTTGATATTGTTGTATCATAGGTATTACTCCAGTATGTAAAAGAAGTTGATTTACTACTAATAGGTGGTTTAGCAACAAAATATATTGTCTCTGTAGTTATAAATCCTTCCGAATCTGTGTGTAGAGAAGTTACAGTTAGAAATGTCGTTTCAGGTATGGATGTACGATAAAAGGAATATGATGTTGAGTGATAATTAGGGGAATTAACATAATAGATAGTTTCCGTTGTAGCATTTCCCGAATCATCAGTGGTAGTAATAATACCAGTTGAAAATGTCTCTATTCTTCTTTCACTCCAATAAGAATATGAAGTACTTGTCGATTGTCTCATTGGAGTTTTGACATAGTAAATTATTTCTGTAGTTTCTAGGCTATCAGATCCCTTATAAGTTGTCATTAACGTTGAATAGGTATTTGTTCCCCCAATCCACCAAGTGAAGAATGTTGAGGTTATGAGTCTTTTTGGTGTCAAAACAAAGAAAATAGTTTTCGTTGTTTCGTTCCCATTTGAATCAATAACCGTGGTTTGATAAGAAGAAAGGGTCATCGTTCTTAAATCATCCCAGTATGAATAACTTGTAGTTGTCAACTCATACCTCGGTTTTTGCACCAAGTAGGTAATGTAAGTGATTTCATCTCCATCAGAGTCTAAATCAGTGGCAATTACAGTCTTTAGAGTATAAGTACTTGAAATACCAGAAATTGCTGTATATTGCGTAGTTGTAGAGTATCTTAGCGGTGTATTAACATGATATATTGTTTCGATCACTTCATAATTGTTTTCATTTGTGTAGGTAGTCACAATTGTTGAAAATGTAGACGAATAATCATTCGACCAACCTTTATAGTCAGTAGATGTAACTTGATGAGCTGGAGTACCAATAATGTAAATAATAGTTGTTGTATATTCTCCATCTTTACCTGTGGAAATTTCAGTAGCTGTACTGAATGTTAATATTATGGACTGTTGCCATCCCGTTGTCACGGTTGTTGTCGTCACTCTATACGGTGTCATTACAAAGTATAACACTTCAGTAGTAACTTTGCTATCTGTACCTGTTTTAAGAAACAGTTCAGTTGAATAAGTCATAGTTCCTTGATTGGTCCAGGGGAATAAAGTAGTTGAAGTGTGTATATAAACTGGCGTTTCGACTAAGAAGATAGTTTGAACCCATTCCCCTAAGAAATCTTCTAAGTATCCGAAACTTGTGGTAGTTATAGTTAAAAATGTCGATGTATAAGAACCCTTCCACGAGACAAACGATGTCACTATGTTATCTTCTGGTGTCATGATGTAATAATATGTCAATGTATTAAAAAATCCAGTTGATACATATGTAGAAAATAGCGACAAATAACTTCCTGTCCAAGCTGAGAAAACTGTCGTCACACCAACGCTGGTAGGAAGCGCAACATAATAAACTGTTAATGTGGTAGGATTTTTGTCTATATCGTATTCTGTAGTAATTATAGTAGAAACTGTAGTAGCATCCTTGCCATTAGAGAGAGCAAAGTATTGAGTACTTAAAACATTGTTAGTAGGAGTTCTGACGAAATAAACGGTTACTGTTGTTTCAATATTGGCATAATCGGTAGTTGTTGAAATATAGGAAGAATATGTATCAGTAGTTGAACCAGTCCAATGTGTATAGCTGATAATAGTTGAAGTATAAATTGGGGTCGCCACAATTATATTTGTTAGTGTCCATGAAGCTAATAATTCATGGATATAATCAAATGTTACATAAGTGCTAGTAGCAATAGTTGAAGTGATACTTCCTGACCATGGTTTAAAAACAGTAGAAGGAGATAATGCTGGTGTTTCTATTATAAAAATAGTTAGACTTGTTATATTACCATCATCATCTGTGGATAAGCTTGTTATTACTGTGCTTGTTTTTATATTTTCGTTTGTTCCTTTTAGAAACTGAGTACTAACGAATAAATCTAAAGGAATTACCACATGATATAAAACATCAAAACCAAAGTTGAACATATCACCTGTCCTAATAGTATTAATTGAAACTGTAGTTCTAGTGGTTACTACATTCTTAGTTGTGGGATAAAATATAGTACTTGAAACTGTTGAGGCCGGAGTATAAATGAAGTAAAAAATCTGGGTAGTTTCATCTCCATCAAATCCCCATAAAGTTGTAGTGGAAAAAACAGAAGTGGTATAAGTNGTTTCCCAGCTCTTTATCCACTGGTTACAGTTACTTGTCGAAATGGAGTAGATAAGTAATACACCGGAAAGTTGCATAAACCAATATAATATACCAAAATCCCAATCTCACTCATGAACTAATAAATCATATGTTGGATATGAAACTGTCCAAATATGTAGTATCAAATATCCCCCATGGCAAAGGTGTTCTAATATAATATATGGTCTTCGTGGTAAAGAGGTTATCTATACCAATCACTTCCGTCAAATCCTGGGAATAAAGTTGTGAATACCAACCATCCCATGGTGCTGTTGTGGTAGTATAATAGCATGCATCAGGGATTGCAATATAATACGTTGTAACAGTTGTGTCATAACCATTTTCTCCTGTCGTTGTGGCGAGCAATTGTCCAAACAAATATGGAGTAGTTCCTGTACCACCTCTGAAATTATTGGTTGTCGAGGAAAAATATGCTTTCGAGTATACATACAATGTAATCTCTTCGGTCAAATTGTCATCACCTCCAGTATAAGTAGTTGCATCAGTTTTGTATGTGGAATATTTATCACCTGACCAGGCTACATAGGAAGTTTTTGTGACTTGATTTAATGGTACCTTTACATAATAGTAAGTTGAAGTATACGTTGTGATGGCAACAAAGAAAAAAAACTCAGTAGATAGGGAAACTTCAGTGGAATACACAGTAGTGTAAGTTCCAGACCATGGTCTATTTACATATATACCAGGATTTCTTGTCGTGTAAATGAAATATACCGTGCTGATTATCGAATTTCCATCCACATCTACCGCAGTCGTTAGTGAAGTACTTTTTGTAGTAATATAACTACCGGTCCAAGCTTGTGTTATCGTTTGCTTTAACAAATTGGTCGGTATGAAGACGTAGTAAGTGTACACTGTTGTTTCAAAACCATCTTGTCCTATCGCTTTATTTATATTGGTTGAATAAGTTGATTTAGAGTTCGCATTGATGTTACTTTCCTTAATTACTGTTCGGGCACTTAATCTAATTGGAGTTCCAACATAATAGAGAGTTTGAAATGTTACAAACCCCGAACTATCGGTGATTGAATATACTTTGGTAGATAATGTGATAGTTGACTTCCCCAGATATTCAGTTGTTTTGGTAGAACTCATATGATAGGAAGGTACAGCCATAATGTAATATGTAGTGGTATACACAGTAGAGAAGATAATAAAATAATTATCTGTCGAATATGAAACGCTGGTTGACAAAAATGAGACTGAATTGCCAGTCCAGTAAGTAGTCAATGTTAAACCAGGATTTCTGGTGGTAAAAATATAATACACTGTTCCAGTTGTGGAACTATCATCAGTGCCGCGTGTTGTAATAAGACTTTCGGATGTCTCTAAATAATTATTTGTCCAAACTGATGTTATAGTACTTACATAAAAATTGTTAGGAATTCCATAGATATACTCATATAGAGTTGTTATTGAACTATCTGAACCAGTAATTACATTTGTTTTCTTTGTGATAAAAGACGGACTTTGCCCTGTGTAATATGTAAGCCTGGTTGAAGTTGTAAAAGCAGAAACATATTCTGGATAATAGACTACAACAGTTGTAAAATATGTTTCATACCCATCATATCCTGTACTCCTTGCAGTTAAGGATGAAGTAAGTTTGTACTCCAATTCATTTAAAAATGAAGTTGTTGTGGTCGAACTATGGAACCTAGGTGTTTTTATATAATAGTAGGTAGTTGTTTTTGGAAGGAAAAAAAAATATGTTACTGAGTAGGACGTGCTATATGTAGTTAAATAACCTCCATCCCAGCCCTCGCTGTTGTAAATTGTTGTATCTGCACATACTATTTTAAGTGTGGCAATTAGTAATGTGAAAAGAATTGAAAGTTTTAGATGCATGAAAGCTTTTATGATGTGTTTGAATTAACCAAGAGCCCTTTTTTAAATTTCTTTAACTTAATTTTCGAATTCTTAGAAACTTAAAAGTATAGATGTATATTAATGGGAATAGTTTCTCTATTGGTAATCGACTTTTAATAACAGTAGTTGAAGCTTTGAAAATGATATTTTTTTCTATTGTTATGTTTTTGGTAAATATTATAGAATACAACTTAATTGTATATCAGATTTTTTAAAAAGTAGTTAACACTTGATATATTAATTAAATATAATAATTCTGGATATTGAAATCCGGATTTTGTCAGATGCACAAATTATTGCAATAAATAAGTATCGAAGGAAATCAATCTGTTTGACAAATTCTTAAATGTCTTCGCTTTTTTGGAAAGACCAAATCTCTTAAATATTAGATATTTGAATATATATATTATATATATGTATATATTTTAACCAAATTCTAAAATGTATCTTTAGAATAAACTTCTAGGTAAAATCATTACAAGGTATGTACCCAAAAAGTTCTTTTTCCAGGAAATTGGTTATTTCCATTAGTTAATCTTAAACCTAAAAATTGGCCTACTGTTTGACATCTAATATAATGAAGATGAATTCCTAGAAAACTGTTTAAACTTAAAATAAATTGGATGAAAGTTACTGTATATCTTAATGAGAACGTTTTTATTATCTCAATTTGGGAGCTTATGATATTCAAGAAGAAACAAGGAAAAGATCAAAAGTTTGTCAGAAGTCTTACCAATCAATCGTGTTACTTTTGGATAACTTTGAGTGCCTTAAAAACACCGGTAACATACGGTAATACTCGTTTCTCCGGCAAACAACCGATTTAAAAAAGAAATTTTTTGGTCAAGAGAGGCCTCAACAAAAGAAATTTGTCCTAGAAATAAACTTCGAAGATATCCTAAGTAAGATAAATTAAAGGAAGTCATGGAGAAAATATTTTGATTTATAATTATTTTGCCTTTCTTTTAGAACTTCTTAATAATAAGCACTAAATGGAGGAAGGGAAAAGGGGGGTGGGTAAAAATATTTTCCAAAAAAAAAGCTCTTCGATAATTAGCTTTACACTAATCCACTCTTCTTTATTTTTCTATTTTATTTGTAGTCTGGATAGCCCTTTTGTCGAAGCCTGATTAAGCAGGCTTCGATAATTTTAATCTCTGACTTGAACAAAACTAAGACAGAGATTTGAAATAAAAAATTTTAAGCATGTATTTATTAGTAGTGTATTCTTAATAAGCTATCCAATTCTGGATTTAGGTTCAGTTTTGGTCATCATAATAAAGAAAAAAGCTGCATTTTATGTGAGACAATCAATAGTGGATAAAAAAATTGTGTATCAGTTGAAATCAACTTCAATTCTCGGAAAACAATCCTTCGAAAAGATAGGTACTTACCGATTCCCTAAGATATCATTCAAATGGGAAGGGTGGATAACAATGTTGAGGATATAATAGAATCGTCTGGTGTAGTAAGTAGAATTGAAACTAACTAAACATCCACTCTAATAAAACCGGCAAAAATACTATTCGTCGGGATTGATCATGGATATTAACTTCACCAAATATTTTCGTCAAATAAAGCTTACCAAATTGTGCTTGCTTGTTTACATTTAGTGAATTTATTAATTGCCAATTACTTTATTTTGTTTGATATACAGTATACCGTTTATTGGTCTCTCCGTATCCTTCTCTTACCCATTCATTATTCGAGAAAAAAATGCATTTTTATGAACGAGATAACGCAGTAGTTTTCACGGCTCAATCTAGAACCCAAGTATAACATGATGAAAGAGGAAATGAAAACTACATTGGTCTTAAATTTATTCTCACTTAGTTTCACTGAATTATCGTAAAATTGAAAACATGTACAAACAAAAAAAAAATAATACCGAGTAATCGTACGATAAACAAAATGGTTTAGCATTTGATACTTTTTTAATTTAACTAAAAAAAAAATTCTTTTCTGCCTTGATATTCAAATAAAATTGCCAACCTTCTTCCCATTGTTTTCGGTTTTAAAAGATGGCTTTGATGTAATGTTAATCTTTGATGCAGCCTAAATGCAGAAACGTTGGCAACCGAAAAAGTCCTTGTTTTTACTTTTTATTCTTACTTTGAGTTCCTCGCTGAAGCCATTTTTTCCTCTGTCCGGAAGGCCTTTTTCGAACCTTTTAAAGACATTTCAACTTCCTACCTTGGTTTTTCTTTTTCACTTGAAAGACCCCATAGTTGGATTTCCATTTTAGGTAGAGGTAAAAATATTCTGGTCAAACATCCAAATATAGCTAATTGGAAAAGAAACGGAAAACATATCGTAAATTCCTCTGAATCGACAGTACTCGACGCAAAACGGGGAACCCAGTTGTGATGGTTCTTGTGGGAAACACTACAACTAAATAAAAGAAACGATTACAGTAAAAGGATTCCAATCGTTTCTTTTGTTTACTGGCAGGCTAACTTTAAGGTTGAGCATGCGCAATGAATGGAGAGTGGAATTTTAGTACTAAAAGAGTTTGGTTACCGATGAGCTAAAAGTAATTAAAAAAAAAAAGAAAAAACGTTAATGTTGCAAGAGTATAAAATCTTGAGTTAACCCTGCACCGCTTGGCTAATATAATACTTGTTTTGGTTTTGGTTTTGGATACTAAAGACTGAGAATCGGTTAGGGTTACATGTATTGAAATCTACTGAGTTCTAAAAATCATACTATATATATATTATGGTCTCATCTTTCAAAGTTTGTTTACAACTGGAAATTTCCCTTAAGCCATTTACAAAATATATATGTAGCAACAATTTTTTTAGATTATTTTCCAATTACACTGTGAAATTTCTTCAATTAGGCTGACCAGTTGGATTTCTTGATGGCATTGACTTAATTATAATAGTTCTTCACGCTTGGATAATAAATATTAAGGAATGACGATATGTTGGAATTTCATAGGTTGGTAAGATTTTGTACTGGATTATTTTTTGAGTTTTGATGAAAACTGACTTAAAATAGGATTACGTATAATCTTACAACTTTACAACGAGATCTAATTGATTTCACTGTGGATAAATATGACATCATGCAAAAATATAATTATAAGCATGCACATGGTTGAACTGTCAATCTTGGATGGATAAATCAATGAGAGAACTAATGATTCTATATCTCATAATAGTCTTGTTATTGATTAATTTCCCTTCGACCCCCTTCCTTTTCAAGCATCTTAAAATTTAGAGAAACTTATAGAAATTTCCTTTTAAGTATTGAAAATTACAAATGAAACCAATAGCTGTTGACTGATGTTATGTATGGTTTCCTATATTATTAAGACTCATTTATACACTTAAAATTGAGTAGTGGAAAAAACAATTTTAAAACATATGAATATGATGTCACTACAAATTATATTTTTTTATGAAAGAATCTTTTTAAGACAAACAATTCTAGATTAGTTTCATACCTAGAAAATAGAATAGATTAATCTTGTATCTTTAGCTTAGAGTAATTTCAAGATAATATAAAGCTTGACACATTTATGACGTATTACTTTTTCTACGAAAAAAATCTCAGCAATAGATTATTTGGCAACTCAAAATGATATATCACAGAGATGACATAACAACAGTTTTTATCAGAATTTTTGGATGGACAACATAAAGAAGGGATGAATTATGTACTAATTAAAAACTTATATTATTTTGTTGTGCCGAAACAATTTTTTTAATCTATTCTCTATTTAAGTTTTTAATGAAATAAAAGTCATTATATTTCCTTAATTAATATTTTATAAAAGATTCAGTTTAATTAACCGCAACTAATTAAAGTAAGTTACCAAAAATAAAACTTTAATTCTTACCTTAATTATAATTTTATTTGGAAAGCCCTTGAAATTTTGCTAATATTTAAATTACTTTCTTTAATCTTCTGTCATAAAGTTCTCAAATTTTTTGGAATTTTATGAAGGAAAAAAATTATATTTGTTTAAAATGTATGGATCAAAAATTGAATAAATTTATCATAAATTCATTTTTTGGTTTCAGATAATTAATTAAATATGATGACCTATATCAGCTCACTAGTTACAAAAGAATGAGTTCCAAGTTCATTTGTATTTTAGTATATTTGTATAATACATTTTCTTAAGTATAGTGAGGAGGCGTAGTAATTAAAGTTTAAAATATAAATAAGAATAGGCATTTTAGTTTTAGTTGAAAGTTTACTTGTTAAATAGTTCATAATGTTTATGATGTTGATTTTTAATTTTTTATTTCCCCAATTTAAAAACTAATTAGAACAAAATATTAAAAAAGCAAAAAAAACATATGAAAATTCAGCGTACATAGAAAGCTTTAAAGAATTGTATATGAAATCTACAAATATCTAATATCTTAAAAAGTTTTTATCCTAAACCATTTAATTATTTTCTATTAAATACTCCGAAGGGCCAATAAGATATTGTATTTAAGTTTTTCACTGTGGTACATTATAATGCTTTAATAATCGACCTAACCGATATGCTACTTTACTCTGTTTTAACCCTATTTAAATTTTAGATTAATACTTGAGAATATTTTTATCCCTTCGGAGATAAATATTCTTGTAACAACATCTAAATATTACTTACTCTTATTTTAAATTTAGTGATACCAGTATAATGATCACTGGTACCTTACGAATAACGAAAAATCCATGACAAAGCAAACTCCATTCAAACAGTATCAAAAGATGACCTCTATAACTAAAATATTCTCAGATCCCGAGATCTTTAGAACATAATCAATTATTTGAAAGAATATCCACGGCCGAATCTGATAATTTTCATATGAGGTACACCTAAAAGTCCATAACCAAAATACCATATATGCTGTTACTGGATGAACATAAGTTTTCAATTACCAACTATCCAATTTATAATATTACCTATTTACAGCATGATTAAGACAAAAAAGTACTAAGCATGTTGTAGGAAAAAATCTTGTAATCATCTATAGAGTTCTAAATTTCGTGAAAATTACCAACATTGATACTCCTCAAAATATTCAACAGCTCTATAATTATACAGGGCAACTAACTCTGCAGAAATATTTCTTGTCTGATCCACAAATTTAGGAGGTCCACAACAAACAATACCAAGTGAACCATCTAACAAAATTGAGTTTTCAATTATGCCCCTAATATCCGGCCTCCCATTTTTTGTTAAGGCAAGATCAGCTAATGTCATCTCCATTAATTCTGTTGTTGAAATGATATCATTAAGAGAGTTTTTATTATCAGTATTTGCATCGTCCTGATATCTGTTGGGTTCATTAGATAAATCATCTAATTCGATTAATGAAGAATGAATATCACGTGTAAAATAAATTGACACCTCTACATTCGTTTCTTTGAGTCGAGCTAACTGGGGTCCATATACCTTTAAAAACGAACTATTTCTCACCACCATCACTAAATGTATATTCTTATTACTATATTCATCATTATTCTCTCCTAATTCAATTGCATGCGCTAATGGTCCTGGTATTCCGCTCCCCCCAGCTAGCAACAAAATATTATCAAAATCATTTAACTTTGGTAAATGACCATATGGCCCTTCCAATGCAACTCGCATATCTAACCTTCCACCTGCATTTACCACTTTATTTTTCAAGTATTTTGTTAAACCATCTTTAACCAAAATACCAATCCTTACCTCATCACCCAAATCTATCACCGTGAATGGATGGGATTGCCAAAAAATTAAGGTGTCTAGAAAATAGACAAAAAAATATTGGCCACTTTCTATTTTAAAATCCGACTTTGGTTTAGGTACTGTAACCATGAGAATATCATCGCCAACTCGCCTTATTGTTGACATTGGGAACCCAAAAATAACAACCCTAAACAACCGTATAATTCGTTCAGTTAACCAAATATAGATGGGAACAACAATCCATTCCTTCCACCCTATATCTTTAACATGATTCCAACAAAGATGAAAAAAAATTATTGCCAGTATAATATGGGTATATAGAAATGTTTCATAATAATGTCTTCTGAAGAATCCAACGGAAAATATGCACATTATAACAGCAATAGCGAGAGCAAGGATTCCATATCTCCAAAATGCCAATTTATTAGATGATACAAAACTTTTATTCAGAATTGAATAAACAGTATATGACATTCCATGAAGAATTGAATCAAACACCATTATTCTTCCCATCCACTTATGATACATAATAAAAGATGAGTAGTTAAAACTGGTTAGGTATTCCAATAAGTTAGTCCTGGTACTAAAAAGAATTATTAGCGGGAAATGAGCAAATGCTATTATACCAGTTCTATCACCAAAATATCTAGCAATTTGAATAGGCTTTGATGCAAAAACAATATTAAAAGGATCAAATTCAAACTTTATTGTCAATAAGATAAAATGCAATATCAGATATCCCAATATGAGAAGTGATTCAAATCTGGTTGGTAGAATCCCTGTTATATATCTATTAAAAGTAAAATGTTCTGCATGAGTTTTGAAAAGTGTCGGAATGAAAAATTTACCTCTTATATAATTGTTGAATCTGATCCTTAACAATGACAATTTAAAAGTATTATAATTTAAAAATTTTAAGAATCCTACCATTAACATAATTTCTAAAAAATAATGAAGAATAATCAATCCAAAACTATTACTTAAATCAAGATTTTTTGAATAGTAGTGGTATGAATCACCTATTTCAAACCTCAATTTCTTTGGAACTCTAACTGGGTATTTTAAAAGTTCATCTTCCTCATAACTCTCATGTAGATTAAGTGTGGCATTATCAAGGGAATCATGAAACTGCTGAAGTGAAATATTTCCAACCTGTAATGATACATAAGAGCACAATTGTTGTACACTAGTTAAACTTTTATTGAAAACATTACGATTCAAGTTCCTATCATATATAATATCCTTAATACATGTAGCCCATGAACCAAATGCTGGCTCATATTCACATATTAAAGAATAATATGCCCTATGCTCATGTTCAAACTCCCATCGAAGCTTATTCAGATGCGCAGCACAGGCTACCACTGCATTATGCTCCCACACATCCTTCTTGGATGTTCTCAGAGGAATACCATCTCCAAAAACTAGATTAAATATCAATAACAGGAGCAAACAATATTTCAAACTGGATTCCATATCCTTTATTAGCTCTATATCTAATCTGGGGCCTATTTATGTAGCAATTTATAATCGAATTCAAATTATAATCATAAAAGTCTTAAGCATCAAACGAATACTAGGCTGATTCTCCAACCATCAAATATCAAGAATTATTGAATTAATCCCTGCTATCTCCTTCTGTGTATCAACTTTATAAAGTAATATTTTTGCTCGATCTTATCTCTTCTCATCTCATCTCATCGATCTTAAATACTTTTTTCGAAATTGTTTGAAGAGGGTGCATTCCCTAATAGGCAATATTATGACTATGACGTAGCATCGAAAAGATGGAGGAATTGAAGAAATGTTTGTTATATAACCAGTGAGAACTTGGTCTGATTTATTTTGAATGATTAAGTATGAGTTTTCTAATTGTATCTTCAATGTCTGATAGGTTTTCTTATATTTTTAAAGGTGAATGAAGACGTGCAATTTCTTTTATTCTTTGAAACGTCATCTTTTAAATATGCTGTTCTTACAAGAAAACTTGTTTGATTTGTCTTATAACAAAATGTTAACTATAAAATGGCAAAGGAATGAATCAAAATATATAGTAGTGTTTTATTTTCATTCCAATGGTGAAATTAATTTGAAATTTTCTACGAAAATTATTGACAGGAAGGGGATAAAGTTTTTTTTTTTCCAAAATGTCTTTATCCAATGATTTGTTCATATAGTTTGGAAAACTGATAATTCTTTATTCATAATAGGCTTAAAATATATCTCATTGCCCAATTCAGCGTAATTATCCTTTTCACCATTGAACTGGCAAGTTCATTAGTTAATTCCGGACTTTTCAGGAAAAATGATAAAATCATAAAAGTTGCTTAAAAAACTAGTGCACATAGTGTATTAATTTTTTGTATTACAACATATTCCCTAATCATACTATACCTTTATGGGGTTCAGATGGGGTATTTTTCAATAAAATATACGGTAAATAATACGCTTTAATTGCATTCACTGTAGACAAAAATCCATCCCAAGAGTAAGATGTTGTCTCATAATTTATGCGAACTTATCGAACATTTCCATTTCATTATTGACAGTAACCCCAGATGAGTGCTGAAGATAATAAATCTATATTTTTGGACAAACATTGACTATCTTTTATATATAAAATAACTTCATCGATTGTCAATTGCTCTGTGTCATCTAATGTAATGGATTCAATAGCGTCAAAACCAGATTCTTGAGTTTCAAAATGAAAGTCTCCAAAAGGGTATATATATTCTTTGGTGTCATCTGACGTATATGACATAGCTCTAGAAGACTTATTCTTAATAGTTTCTACGATATCTTATAGTCAAAATGATTCTAGGTTCTTAAGAAATAAGAGTATTCTTGATCCATACATTTAAGAAATTGATCAAGTATCCCACAAACAAATAAATCAAAGTAAATTAATGCCACTTTTTGATTATAAAGTGTAAAATATTAATTTATAGATGTATAAATTAGATTATTCTTATCTTGAAATTTTTTTAACAAAGGTATAATATATTAAATTAAATCGTATTGTAATAATAAGGTTGCTAATATTTTATTGCACTACTTAGTTCTCTTTAATCCTGACCGCTTTGTCGAGACATACAACTTCAGCAATTAGAAAAGTTTCCTCGAAAGAAATAAAAAGATTAGAATTTCCAAGTGACCAACCTACTAATTATTATAACCACTTTCCCTTTGGGGCTTACATAAATTAAGGAGGTGAACTCAGTGTTTTAGCCTAAAAAAAGGGCAAGAAACCCAATTACTGCAATTTTTTGATAACTCAAAGAATAAAATAATAATCTATAAAGTATCTACAAACTGGAAAAATTCGAATAAGAAACTTCTAGGTTTAACTTTTTATTGAAGATTAGTGATATAAAATGAGATACCACGATTAAGCTTTAAATGAAAAGTTTAATATTATTTAGGAATTTGATTACCTGGAAACCTCAAAAACCCAGAATGTATTCTACTTTGAACATATTTACAGTGTAGATCTACAATATTTGAAAGATTCTAAGGAACATACATTTATGGCTTTTCTTTGTTTTGCTGAGATATGTTTTAGATAGGCAATAATCGAGATAATACCTGGATAAAAAGCATTAAAAGGCTTCAACATTAATTAACAAGTTAAATTTAAAATGGTTGATTGGCAAAACCAATCCACTAATAACGCTATTTATCAGTAATTATGTGCTGGTGTCAAGTTCAATTTTTGGTTATTTTAATTCTAGACGGGGTTATAAGATTTCGAAATCTTATGACCCCATCTGTAAAAATAAAAAGCCTATTAAGACTTGAAACAACTATAGGTATATCGTAAATTCTATCTTTACTACTACTACATACTTTTATATATTTTTAAGTTCTGCTAAATAACTCGTTTAGTGATTCATTGTAAGAATGTAAAAATTTCAAATTTAGAGGTGAGCCAAATTCCTTACAGGAACTATTAGTTTTTGGTTTTTAACTAATTTAAGTCAGCAACAACTCTTGACCAGTTATCATAAGTTTCTCTACCATATTGAATGTCAGCAATCCAGTTGGCGACTGATTTGGTTAATTGACCAGACTGTTCACCTGGTAATAGAGGAACTTGGATGTCATTACCCTTCCAGCCAATTTCTTTAATTGGAGAGACAACAGCGGCGGTACCTGAACCGAACGCCTCCACCAATTCACCTTTGGCGGCCCTTTCTTCGACTTCTGTGATAGTATAATAACGTTCATTTATTTCCCATTCCTTTGGATCTAATCTTTCTCTAGCTAGAGTTAAGATAGAATCTCTAGTGACACCTTCCAAGATGGTACCATCTAATGGAGCGGTAACCAATTCCTTCTTCCCAGTTTTGGAATCCTTGAAGACAAAGAATGCGTTCATAGTACCTACTTCAGTGATATTTTTTTCAGGACCGAATAGCCATAGATTTTGTTGGTAACCTCTTTCAGCAGCTTGCAATTGAGGTAAGATACATGGTGCATAGTTGGCACCTAATTTCTTATCACCTACACCACCTGGCCAAGCTCTTGTAGCATAGTCAGTTGCCTCTAATTTAACGGCTTTGAAACCTGTTTTATAATAAGGACCAACAGGAGAGTTGATGACAAATAGCAATGCTTTATCTGGGGTACTAACTCCTAAAGTGTTAGTGGTACCAATCATAGTTGGTCTGATGTATAAAGAATAACCTTTACCTTCAGGTACCAAATGTTTATCGTTTTCAATTAATTTTCCAATCAATTTAATCAATTCATCTGAGTCAAAAGTTGGTAAACATATCCTTGCAGCTGATTTGTTCATACGCTTCATATTCATATCAGGACGGAACATAGTTATTTTATTATCGTTAGTCCTATAAGCTTTCATACCTTCAAATAATTCGAACCCATAATGGAAAACACAAGAAGCCGGATCTAAGGACAAATTAGCATACGGTTTAATCTCTGGAGTACCCCAACCTTTGCCAGCTTCCCATTCTATAGTCAACATATGATCTGTGAAAGTATTACCAAAAACTAATTGATCATTAGGTTTTGGTTTTGAAGGTTTAGTACTTGAAATAATTTTCAATTTTGTAGAGTCTAATGGAGCATTTGATAAACTTCTAATGAAGTTTTTCGAAGCAAAAAAAGCAGAATAACGTCCAATTGAGCCTCTAGACAACATTATTCACACTAAATATGATATAATTCGGTACCAATATATAGTTAATAGACCCACACAGTACTGATATGACTGATTTATTTGATTTTAAACCGTTGGGATATCCAAGAAATATGACAATTCTCCTAAAAAAATAAGATATTATCAAAAGCTAAATCAACAAGATATTAAATACTAAATCTAAAATGTTTCAAGATAATAGGATTACTCATAATTAATAAATATAAATTAATCTAATCACGAATCGATCAACTATAGACATCGTTTGATTAAATTTATTCACTCAAGAGCAGTTCGATTTCGATTTCGAATTGGAATTGATCACTGAGAGGAGCAGAAACCGTTAACGGGGGAAAAGTAAAGATAGGGAAAAAGAAACGAGTATTAGAGAAGAATTTGTGAGTTGGTCACATGATTGAATATAAACTTACGATATGTATTTGAACATGTATTTGCAGTGTTAGGGTTGAGCATGGAGGAGGGTGATGCTGGGAATAGACGTTTTAATGATTAGAACTTGTTGTTGTATTTCAAGCTTCATATGGAGCTGTTGAATGTTTAAACTATTCTACCAATTTTTTGAAACTCATATGGAATTAATATCCCGTGACTATCACATGCAAAAAATATTTGCCTCGGAGCCGAGATAAATAGAAGGACTGATATACTCGGCTCCGACATCAAACTCTGACTCTACTTCTAGTCACCAAAGGTTTTGCTTCTGGTTGGGAATCACTTTTAGATTATCTGCCAAGCAAGAAGATAAATATAGATTAAAGGATAATTCGGATGGTCTACCATCTGCATAAACAAATATATATATATATACGTTTGTATTTACAAGTCCATTCTCAATGATGGGAGAAGATACAACAGAAGAGCAAGCCTCTTAGGTGGAGAAGGTACCACGGCCTTCAACTAACTTTCTGTTACCGGTTTGGTCCATCACCTCAACTGTTAATTTAACATTTTTACCAAACTCTTCTACTTTTGTAGTTCTAACAACTACAAATTGGTTAGCCAGCGTTGGTAACTTGTAGGACACGGTTAGATCTTTGATTTTTTCTCCTTCTTTGTTCTTGATAAACTTGACACTTTCACGCATTTGATCTTCCATAACCGTAGCTAGCATACCACCATGAACAATGAATGGATACCCAGTAAGTTTCATACCCAAATGATATATACCAATAGTTTCCTTAGTTTCAGGATTATAATAAAATTTAGGTGGAATTGCAATGCCACCTGGTGTAGCTAAGGTCTTATCAATCAATTTATTATCACCGACTTTACTATCTCTACCAATAGGAAACACTTCACTGTACCCAGAGTTAGACAATTGCTGTACAATTGGTAATCTATGCAACCTATTAGTCAAGTCAGCTTCATACTTCTGAACTTCTTCACTACTCCTTGGTAATTTATCATATCTCCAATAGGCAATTAGGTCTGTAAAAGTCATATGTTGGGTAAAAAACCAACCTGTAGCAAAACTACCACCAAAAATAGCCCATGGAACCCATTTCTGGTTACTTAACTTTGTTTGACTTCTTTCAACAACAAATTTCTTGGTAGATGCATGTCTGACAAAACGTAACAATCCAACTCCTTTAAACATCGTTCAAATTAGCTATAAAAAATATCCACCGATCAAAACCAAACAAACCAACAGCCAAATAGCACAATATAAGAAGAAATATATCAGCACAGATGATTCTACCGTGATCAGACCTCTTTAAACCTTCTACAATTCAAATCGATCTTAAAATTCCAAGCATCATTAATGTATAAGTTCTTATATATGATGCCTGCCTATTTAAATTTAATTATCAAATTTGATAGTTAAGCGAGAAGAGGTTCCTTCGTTAAAAAGACAATATACAAGTATAAAAGTAGTAATATTAAAGTGATAAGAACAGGATTATTTTGGCAATTTGATAAAGATTATTAGGCATGGAGTTATTGCCATTAAGTTATTGATTGGTCTAATATGCACTTGAAGTTTCATACTCTTTCTCTTAATGATTCAGGTCCCTTATTGGCCGAATCAAGTGTTAAACCTAGCCAACAACAAATATGCGATGACATTTTATTGCTTTGGAGAGAAGAACCTATAACGGATGGTCTATCTGTTGATTTGTTGTACGATAAAGTTATGGGACGCCATCCTGAATGGATTCTTGATAGAACAGAATTCAAAAATGCTGTAAGAAATCAACATTTAGATTCAAATGATGAAAGATCTTTAAAAGTTTATAATGATTTCATAGATATACCAAGCTTTAACGATGATTATGATGCTATTATTGATAAAAAGACTTCATCTAATGTTTGTGTTAAAAATTGCAAAGATGGGCATAAAGGTAGAGGTTTGTATGCTTTGAAAGATTTTGTTAAAGACGATTTAATATTTAAAGAATCTTATCCAATTGTTGTAGTACCGTCTATGGAACGATTAACCTTGATGAAAATGGGTAAAGCATGTTCATTGTGTGGTGGACTTTTGAGTCATTTATCAAAACATTTTATAGTCGTTCATAGTCTTGATTGTGATAATTGTGGTGGTGTTTGGTGTTCCAACGAATGTAAAAATATAGATATTGGTCATAATACATTAAAACATCTTCATAAATCAAAAATAAATGGAATTGATTCAGTTGCATGGGGGAAATTTGAAAAATATTGTAATGACAATGTATTCGTGGCTGCTTACTCTATAGGGGTCATAATGGCTTTAGCATTGATAGATAAAAAGAATACAGATAAAATCAGAAAAAAATTTAACTTATTATCCTCTGTCTCTCAAGGAATACGGATCAATGAAAGTGATTCAACTAATATTGGGGGCACCTTTGATGCTTCAAGTGGGGCTATGTCAAATAAAGATCCCGAACCTATCTGGAAGACATCCTACGAACTTCTTAAGAACGCAATACCAACCACTGATGAATTAGATATGGAAACATATCTGTCATATATTGGAAGGTATAACATTAATCAAATTTCTGATCAGATGTTTTTTTTGCCATCACTAATCAACCATAATTGTGAACCTAACGTACGATTTGAAGTAGTTTCGAATAAAGAGATAAGAGTATATGCTAGAAAAAACATTAGTGCTGGGCAAGAACTTTTAACTAACTATATAAATCCTCTACATGGTGTAAAGCTAAGAAGAAGAGAATTAAGAGTAAACTATGGCTTCCTTTGTCACTGTGACCGTTGCATAAAGGAGATTAAGAGGAATAATGATGTTGAAAATGAAAACCTTTCCAATTCAATCAATAATAATGGGGGATTGAGTGTACCGAATGATAGTCTTTTGACAAGAAGAAAATCTTCAATGAGAACTGCTAGGCCTGATTTATCTGAACTATTGAAGACTGGACAAGAATTTGATTTAGATATCCCAGAAAATTTGTCTGGGAAGAAAAATAGAAGAACTTCTGTACGATTTGTAAATCAGGTAACTCTTGCGGTAGAAGAATGAATGTAACCATACGTAAACTCGAATTATTATTTTAGATATATATTTACAATTCTAATTATGGTTTACTCATCTATGAACATTAATTAATATATAATATTAAAGTTGTCTTTAAAAATAGTTTTGAAATAAGCATTTACTTCAACTTGATTCTTTAATTTCTCATTTAAGCCATTTCCTATTCATTTCAAAGCTTTTAAAGCTTTTTGTCGAATAACTGAAGACTATCTAAGTCAATAATAAATTGTCTTAATTCTGAAAAATTATAGTCAAATTCTTATACTACTACTAAAAAAGAAAGTCATTCATCACTATATATTCTCACATTTAAATTGGTAGGTATTTGAATTAACGTCACATGAAGAAGAATTAATAAACGATGTAATCGAAGTTGCCTGGAAATAAAGATCATTATTTTCCAAATCAACCTCATTGTTGCACTCAGAGTCAGATTCGATTAAAGCCTCATCTGTAGCAAAGTTGGGATGACATCCATTGTTATCGAAGACATATTTTTCATTGGCTTCTAAATGAGACTCGCCATTATAAGTAAATCCTACAAAATATTGCTGCCAGCTTGGTGAAATTGCCGTATCTTCGACTTTATTATATTCTTTGATAACATCAATTGTTGGAGTTTGTGTAAAAGCTGGATCAAAATATGAAGTATCTCTATCTGAGGATAGATGAGGTTTAAATGGAGGAGTAACTTCTTTCTTCATCAGAGCTTCCCAATCTGTGTCTCTGAAAAATTCATGGGCCCTTAATTCTCTGGCATCATTTATAGCACCAAGTCTATGTAAAGGATTCCTATTCATAAGACCCTTGATAAATAATCGACAACCCTTAGATAGACTATTGACAGGAAATTTGATCTTGCTATAAGCGATTTTTTGATACATTTGTTGATTTGTTGGTGCAAAAAAGGGTGACCAACCACAGCACATCTCAAACATTAAAACGCCTAAAGACCAAAAATCTACCATTTTAGTATAGCCAGTTGCATCTAGCAATAATTCAGGTGCTAAATATTCTGTGGTCCCACAGAAGGTATTTGTTCTTCCCTCTAAATTTAATTTTGAAAGACCAAAGTCACATAAAGCAATGTTTCCCTTAGCGTCAAGTAAAATATTTTCTGGTTTTAGATCTCTATAAATAATATCATTATCATGAAGAAACTCTAAAGCCATTACTAACTGTGCACAATAAAACTTAGCTCTATATTCAGGAAATCTGCCTTCTCTTTGTAAATGTAGAAATAATTCACCTCCACTCATAAAATCTGTCACTAGATATAAATCTTCCGCAGTCTGGAAAGAAAATTTTAATTTTACAATGAAAGAGCATAATTTATTTGCGTTATGGACCAAAATATTCCTTTCGTTTAATGTATGTTTGACTTCTTTCCTTTTAATGACATTTCTTTTTGATATCACCTTCATTGCATATAACGTTTTAGTATCCTTTTTTTCAACCTGATATACCCTACCAAATGTACCTTTACCCAACATTCTCAAGATATTAAAATCCTCAGGACTGTAATGCCTCTGATCGGTGTTTTTATATTTCCATTCAATTAATATCTGACAATTAGTGTCAGTGGTATTGCCCTTTTCGGGATGCCTTTTCAATCTTAACCATTTACTCATTATTTCTGAACTTGAATGATATAAATCTGGAAGTAACTTGACGAAACCTAATAATTTATCTTTATCAGAAGCATCATAAACAGAAATATCCAATTCAGAATTTACTTCTGAGACATCAAATACCACTGTCTTATCCCAGGTAATTTTCGACATAATAGGAAGCTCTGTGCAATTAAAATCACAAGTATTTGAATTACTCTCTGGTTTCCCCGATTTCTTCCAAAATTTATTCATCATATTCCAAGAATGACTTTTACTTTTCGTCAAACCTTCATCATCCCCATGAATCTCTGAATTTTTATTAAAAATCGTCGTCTCTGAATTCTCAAATGTTCCAACAACATATATGGACCCTGGGGAATCAGCAATAGGTAAATTTATTGCTTGAATAATCGTGACATATAGCTTACCTCGAGGAAGACTTGTGCTTAGTTCAGTTGTGGATGTGATAGGGTATGTCAATGGGGATTTTGTCTCTCTTCTTGTTTTACTCTCTTCTGATCCATTATGGGTCGACTGAAGAGGAGACAGCTCTGGGCTCATATCATATAATTTCCTTTTTTCTTTATTCTTGGGTTTATCTTCCAAAGGTTCATTTTCTATTGCTGTCTTAAAAGAAGATGTCAGAAGTGAACAGCGTAAATTATCGGAGTGTTTCATATATAAAAGAAAGATAGATTAAATTTCAAAAGAGTATCACAAATTGTATATATTTTTTGAATCAAAGTTTTTTTATATTTTATCTTGTTTTAATTTATTTTTCTCTAAAGTTTAAAAGTTTCATTTAATTATATAACTTGGGATATGATTAAATGATTTAAAATGGTTCAGTTGAAAGAATGGATATTCCACAATTTTTCAAACAATATTAACCATAAATTATATATAGATGAAAATATAGCTACAAAAATAACAACAGTAAACTGTTTTTGTTCATCAAACCCATAGTTAAGTTTGTTTTACTTCACATTTTATGTTTATTAGCAAAAATCTCATTTATTTGCTGTCATTTAAGCTTGTAAATTAAAAGACGAAATTTAAGGCAGGTTTTGAAAATTTAAGGAGCAAAAAGAAAGCAAGAAAGAAATAATGGTCAATGTTAAAAAAATTATAATTATACATTCTATCATATGCCTATTTATTTTATTAATATTGTTTTTAAATTAACAAACCTTGCGTTAGATGTGTCTTTTTCTAACTTTGGGTAAAACTTTAACTTTCCCTAAACTATGGTAATATAATTTAGGGAAGCATGCAAATAATACAATTTAGATGAAACGAATATTAATGATAGGGATACAATCTAACATCATTTGGTCATCTTGATTTAGTCCAAATAAATCTAGCAATTTACTGGATTTTGCGCCTCCCTCAATATTCTCTTGTTTGCTTAAAATAACTCCCTTGCTGATTAAAATTTCACCATTACTAGGTAAGGGAATACCATCAATGGAAGTAGCTCTATACAAAATGGCATGTGAGTAGGACTCCGCTATCAAATCACAGGATGAGCTTGTAACATCTTTACTATGAACATTTGTAAACGTCTTCCCAGGAACAACTTCTCCATATGTATCAATAGATCCTGCCTGTATTTTTTCGATTCTTATTCTCCTTCTGCCTGCCAAGTCTGAACAATAAACACTTCCATTTTTATACTTAGTTAACTCATAGTTACCTTCTAACTCGATGGCGATTTCAAAAGATTCCGTTGATGAAGCTGGTCTGGAAATACTTTTCCTTGGATTCATCCAAAGCTGGTAAAAATCATCTTCTAACTCAATTGGACGATATTCTTTCAAATGTGCCGGCTTGATTAGTGTATCATTATATCTGTAATCAATTTCGAATAACCTATCAAAGTTGCTTAATAGATAAGATTTTAAGAGCGATTCACCATCGTTTTTATTCGATTGCATAAATGGGGTAATTGGGCAACTAAGGTTGAAAACATTTTTGTTTATATATTGATTTTCGTCAAATTCTACCGCAGATAAATCAGATGTTTCATCATTATTATATTCTTTGAAAAGTGACTTAACCAATCCAATCAGTCCTTTACTGGCCTTCCCTTTCTTTCTTACATTTTCTAAGAATCTTTTATCATTATCCTTCAATCTCTTTAACTGATTCTCGTACCTTGTATCATTAAAAAATCCATTCACTTTATAATCCTTTATTACTTCAGGAGTCAACCACATCGGATGAGCTTCAGTACTAAATATGAAATTATCTCTTGATGCATGAAGTTCATTCTGTTCATCGAACAAAAGGTACAGGTATTTCAGAGTTTCACTCAATACAAATGATTCCATCCTATCTTGAGGTTCACCAGTAATAACGTTTTGTATACCTCCCAAGCCACAGTTATATTTGAACCTAGTTTTTAAGTCATTTAAAATACGATAACCAGTATTTAAATAAAACGGATCCTTTGTTGCTCTGTACAGGAAATAAGTTGATTCAACAAACTCAGGTCTTAATGGATACCATTCTAGTGGGACAATATTTTTCAATAATTCATCATTGTTCATATCTCCTGAATTCTGATGAGATTGAAATTGCCAACGTTCTGGAATACCACCGAATGTATCCCACAATTTTAGAGACATCAAATTTTTCAATGTAGCATCCTCTATATCACCATTTAGTACCTGTAAACCAGGGAAAAATGCACTTAAAGAATCAATCCAGAATGTTCCAAGTTGACCATTAATGTGTTGGCCATTGATGTAAAACCAATCTGAATTCAAATTGACATTCAAAGCTCTGTATGATTCTACCCAGATATTATAAAGTTCACTATCATTGAATAATATAGCACCTTTCAATGCATATTCAAAAAACGAATCAATCGAAGCACCAATACCTGTGATTATAGAAAATATCTGTAAAGATTGAGGATTTAAAGACATCGGAAGAAGGTCTAAATTTGATCTCAATGACCAAACTTTATCAAATGCATATCTTGTGATTTTTTCGTATTTTTTGTCTTTAGTTAAATAGGATAATAATGTAAATTCAAACATGGGACAACCCATTGCAGCTACATTATTTTCTTCAATTATATTCCCTGGAATTCCCTGAAATACTTTTTTAAGGTTAATACGTGACACAGGTAGCCCTGTGTTGGTAAGATAAGCAGGCAGCAATCTATCAGCCATATCCTTTGCCAGGTCTAACAGAAATCCATCATAATCCTCTATATAGACTATTTTAGACGGATCACTAGCATATAAATGTGATGAAAGTAAACTACCAATAATTCTTATAGTCGTTTCAAAAACTTGAACAATGGAATCAATATCGAAACCATTAGAGTAAGTTTCCCTCACAATACTAATAAGCTCTTCAAACCTACGTTTCTCACCCATAATAGCATACGTTGTCAAAGAATCTATCATTGTAACTGTAAAATTACCTAATACATCATTGGTGATAACATCCTCAATATCATCTACATTTCTCATCTTCGGAACACATGATATTGGTCGTAGCTCATCATAGGGAAACCCTAGAGACATGTAATTGTCCATCGTCTCTAAGAATAGATTTTTGACCTCATCTCTGTACTGTAATATCTCAACTTTTGTAAACGACCCTTTCGTAAAAGAACTACCTTTAGCCTCGGTTATCAATGAGAAGAGCCCCAAAAGAGACAGCAAATGAAATAGCAAATAAAATCTACAGTTCATATACAACAATAATGCCGATTCCCATCGTTCTTATGGCATTGCATCATCAACTATAAACCTTTTGACTATTTATTTGAAAGTATTCATCTCTGTTATACTTCGCTATCTTGAAAGCATTATTCGAGATATTTCCTAATTTGGACTTTTACACGAGTTACCCGGGGCAAACGGTTTTCAGCTTAGTATGGTAAGATTCTATGACGTCATAAATTCGAAGAATGTTGATAAGGATATGGTTGAATAGTTGATGAATTGATTCACAAATATACATATACAATAAATATATTTCAAGCATTAGGTATGTATATTTATTTACAAGGCTAATTTTGTCTCTAGAGTTTACTTTGCTTTAAATATTGTTGGATCGATTGTGAAAGCGACAAGAATTTAAGTTTATGGGAATGTGTAATTTTGACACATTCTGAAGCGTGAACATTGAGACAGTCTTTTTATGGCTACAGTGACATCATTTAGTAGTTAATTGAAACGACAGATCTCATTTAGTGTCATTTTTCTATGATTTAGTAAATACATTATACTTTTAGAAGAACTATTTAAGAACATAATTATGCTATTTCATTGCTAGTTGTTGGGCTAAGAAATCTTGTTTTAGATTACAGATTTTGAATATATTCTCTTAGCAATAATCTTGTGGATTTTCCACCATAAGTTTTACAATCCCCTTCAGAATATAATCTAGTCTTTACCTTGTCGATAGAATTAACAGCTTCGAGAACACTACGTTGCATAAACGAATAGTATACAAACTTTACTGTTTCTTCATCAGATATATTTTCGTTTACATCAATATGTTGTATGACGTTCGGTATATTGTACTCATGAAGTGAGTTGTGCTTGGTATCATCACCTTTGCAGCCAAATGAATCGCTGGTGGTATAACCTTCAGTTAATACAGGATTGTTAATAAATGGACATGAATTCACAGTCTCTGAACACCTGGAATTAATAAATTTAGATCGTGGAGGACCCAAAGTTGCTATATATGGACCAGAATTCAAAAAATCTTCTATCTTCGATGCTATTTTAAAAGGAAGTTCAATATACTGCCATTCACTTTCAAACGGCAGGACGATAAATTCTGTATCTTTTGAAAATGGACCTTTCACCAGATCATACCTAACAGAACCTGTATTTATCATAATAAACCTTCCATTATCAATTGAATTCACCTTAGTATCTGGCTTCAACCCAGATAAAACCTTGCTCTTTAATAAGTGGTAAATGCTCTCTTCAGAATTAATTGGTCGGGAAGAAAAATAGTACGTTTTTGGAACAAACCCAAAGATTTCATCTAGATTTAAAGCTTTTCGTAAATTATCCACCATCTGGGTTACAAATCTTCCCTTTGGTGTAGAGAACTTCTCTTTTCGAGATACGTTTGAGTGATAAATAAAGGATCTTTTATTGAAATCAATGTATCGTCTAAAGAAATTTGGATCATCAGAATGTACATCATCTATTGATAAGAATCCTACAGTTTCAGCAAATCTTCCACTTTGTAAGCCTGTAGATTTTGAGTCTAACACTGTAAAATCACGTATATGAGAATGACCTCCAAAGTATTGAATAACAATATTTGGATAATGTTCTCTTAAGAATGCATGTAAATTATTAATTTCTCGATTCTGTACATCAGTTACAGGCATATGTCCAAACACCACTATCATATCAATAGAGCTCTCCGGATAGGATTTCAACACTTGTTGAAACCAAGCTTTTTCTTGCAACTCTTTCAAAGCAGGTGTAACTTTTGCCCTTGGATTATAAGTCACATAATTAAACAAGAATGACATTGCCAATATTTTGGTTTTTGTATTCTTTGTTTCAAAATATACATATTTATTACCAAAAGGGACCACTTCTCCTTCATCAGTAACAAATTCTACATTACTGGAAACATATTTATCTTTAAATTTCTCTGACATCGCAGTTTTATAATATTCCTGAGCAGTTCCCAACGGTCTATAAAGTTCATGATTCCCTAAAGTCAAAAGATCATAATCCATCTCGTTAAAAATGTCCGTGGTATTTAAACCAATAGGAGAAGTGGTATCACTCAAGCCATTACCATCGGTTTTATCACCAGTGTCTATCAATATCAAATCTTGATCTCCTTGGAGTCTATTTTCCCTAAACTTACTCACAAATGATACCAAATCCCCCCAATTTGCATCATAATCCCTCTGATTAACATGAGACCCATACCAACCATGCGTATCAGTAGTATGGATAAAATTTAACTTACCAACTTCAACATCTCTCAAAAGATTCTCTCTATTACTTGGTTCTTCATTAAATGCCCATTGAATAGGGAAACTGAATCCTAAAGAACTCGTTAAAAGAACCAGAAAAAATATATAACAAACTGAATTCATCAATGAACCATACACTGATCCCATACCACCCATGAACTGCTAACCCTGATGCTATTCAACAGTCATTATCAAATCAACAGTAAGTGTCTTGTGGTTCTCAATTTTATATCTTATAGGAACCCTTTTTAAATAAAGGCGATGAGCTTATTGTTAATAGGGTGACTTAGTAATAAAATGAATGGAACCTTCTGAAAATGGTGAAAGTATTAGTGAATGGATGTATATTTCAGTTCAAATTGTATCGGGAATTGAAATGTGGATAATTGTTTGCTTAAAACATGATTGTCCCTATTATTATACTGTAAATATTTTACATAACTTATACATTAAATTGAAACTACAGATACACTCAGATATACAGACATTGTTGAGGAATATTTACAAAGAAGAGGATACAGTCTGGATGAGAGAAATCCAGAGGATGGGGGTATAGTGATCTTGTAGTTTAAAAACTCTTGTCCTTATAAGGGTATTCTACGATTCTATCCTTTCTCAACCATATTTTTCTTTTTTTACCTGTAGTGACATGTTCAACAAACTTCTCAACACAATGCTCCTTTTTGAACTTCTTTATGAACACAGGATCCCATAATTCAGACCCTACACCTAGATCTTTACAGCATCTCATCAATGCATTACTCTTGCGACCTTCTGTAGCTGTAGGGATACCTTGTTCTGAGAAATAATCTTGCTCACCTCTTGCTACACTTACCAATTGACCATGGCATATTAAACCATACTCTCTAGTGACCAACGAGTTGGTGACAATAGTGTCAGAACGAGGCACCAAGCCCCAGCCACCTGCACCAAATGACTTGTTCAAAATACGACGATATTTGATTTCAGGTAAATAAATTAAACCATCAGGTTTAATTTCAATGTCCTTGACCTCTAAAATCTTCACTAATTCATTCTGAACATCCTCACCAAACGGCTTTTGACCCAACCCATACCACGAAGTATACCAATCAATCTCATCCTTAACCTTGGAAGATATAGATCCATTATTACTCACCTCCATTGGCTCCAATTTCCTATTGTAATGAGTACCATTCTCCAATGTCTTGGACCCAACACCACTGTTGGAGCCCTTGCGGATAGCTGAACCACTACCTGGGGCAGCAGCAGCACCACCACCAACTACACCACTCTTACCAGAAACAAAAGTAGACCCTTTACGAACACACAGTCCTAAAGAACCATTGGTTCTTAAGTAATTACCAATTTTTCCTCTAGCAATCATCATTTTATCTTGCCTTTCCAAGTTACCACCAATGCTTCAAAACCTTCTAATTTAACCAATTTTCCACCAACTCAAACCAAACTTTCTCACAGAACCTTCAATTTAACCAAGCTAACTGACCAATACCTTATCAGATCGAAATCTAGAGCGTCTAATCATCTATTGACTTTGCAAATGTTAGATCAAACATGCTTATCATCACTTGCTGAAAAATTTATTTTGATATACGTCATCGGAATATTTTGATACTGAAAAATGATGATATTTAAAACTGACAACAACTAGATAAATGGACTAGATTGAACAGATCAGAAGTATTTATAGGTTGGCCAATCAGTTGTCGAGGTGAGTGGGTCTTATAGTTTGTTTTATATTGTTTTGGTTTACTTTGGTTTTGTTTTGGTTTGCTTTGGTTGAGTAACAATTGAGTTAGAATTTAAAGATGGCAGGTGTCATGAAGAAAAGAGTTACATCGAAAGTTGATGTCGATGAACCTGGGAATAAGTACAGCAAAGGTGCTGAGAAGTATCAGTTTTTAGCCGAGAGATGGTTGACTTCTCCTTTGCCAGATAAGGAAGAGGTGTATAAGTTTTGGTTATACATTGTTACTGGTATTGCCTTTGTTACAAGGTTTTACAAGATCTGGTATCCTAAGGAAGTTGTTTTCGATGAAGTTCATTTTGGTAAGTTTGCTTCTTATTATTTGGAGAGGACTTATTACTTTGATGTGCATCCTCCTTTTGCCAAAATGCTGATTGCATTTGTTGGTTGGTTATCAGGATATGACGGTGCTTTTAAGTTTGATGATATTGGATTATCTTACAAGAAGAACCCTGCTCCTTACATTGCTTACCGTTCTTTGAATGCAATTCTAGGTACTTTGACTATCCCACTAATGTTCAATACCATGAAAGAATTGAATTTCAAGGCGATAACTTGTGCTTTTGCCTCTTTGTTGGTCGCTGTAGACAATGCCCACGTTACAGAAACAAGATTAATTCTATTAGATGCTACTTTGGTTATATCCATTGCAGCCTCTATTTATTGTTATGTTAAGTTTTACAAAGTCCAATTGACTGCTCCATTCTCTCATGCTTGGTACATTTGGTTATATCTAACAGGTTTATCATTGTCCTTTGTTATTTCCTCTAAGTACGTTGGTGTCATGACTTATGCTGCTATCGGTACCGCTGTGGTTGTTAACTTATGGCAATTATTAGATATTCGTGCTGGTTTAAGTTTGGCTAATTTTGCTAGACATTTTATAAGAAGATTAAGTGGTTTGGTCTTTGCTCCATTTGTTGTTTATTTGTTTTGGTTCTGGTGTCATTTTGCAATCTTGGTCAATTCCGGTCCTGGTGATCCTTTCATGTCACAAGACTTTCAAGAAACTTTACTTGAATCACCATTAGCTAAAGAATCAAAACAAGTTCAATATTATGATATTGTTACAATTAAACATAGAGATACTGATGCTTTCTTACATTCCCATGATGCATTTTACCCATTACGTTATGACGATGGTCGTGTTTCATCTCAAGGCCAGCAAGTTACAGGTTACTCTCATGATGATATCAACAATCAATGGGAAATTTTACCTGTTAAGGAATTAGCCTCAAAGAACGGCCATCCAGTTTTACAAGGTGAACAAATTAGATTAAGACATGTTCAATCAAATACCTATTTGCTTACCCATGATGTAGCCTCCCCATTATATCCAACAAATGAAGAAGTTACTACTGTTTCTGAAGAAATTGCTAACGGTGAAAATTACAAGGAAACTTTGTTCACATTCCAAAACTTGAACAAAAACGATGTAAACAAACAAATCAAGACTAAGGGTACTAATTTCCGTATCTTTCATGTTGATACCTCTGTTGCCTTATGGACTCACAACGATGAACTATTGCCAGAGTGGGCTTTTAGTCAACAAGAAGTCAACGGTAACAAGAAAGTTACTGAATCATCTAACAATTGGTTTATTGATACAATTGTCAATATCGATGAAGCTAGATTAAAGCACATCCCAAAAAAGACTGGTACCTTACCTTTCCTAACCAAATGGCTCGAATTACAAAGATTGATGTTTGAACATAACAACAAATTATCTTCCGAACACCCATTTGCATCTCAACCATACTCATGGCCTGGTAGTTTGAGTGGTGTCTCATTCTGGACTAAAGATGATGAAAGAAAACAAATTTACTTTATTGGTAACATTATTGGTTGGTGGTTCCAAGTTGTTTCGTTAGCTGCATTTATTGGTATCGTTATTGCCGACATGTTAACAAGACAACGTGGTTACTTTGCTTTAAATTCTATCACCAGAGAAAAATTATATGGTCCAGTTATGTATTTATTTGTTGGTTGGGCTTGTCACTACTTCCCATTCTACCTAATGGGCCGTCAAAAGTTTTTACATCACTATTTACCTGCCCATCTAATCGCTTCATTGTTTTCTGCTGCTATTTGGGAAATAATATTTAGTGACACCAAATCAATTGATGTTCACAAGGATGAAAAGAATGATGATGTCCCAGAAATTAAAACTAAATATTATACTATTTTCTTAGCAGTTGTTTCCTTTGCAGTTATTGCTTTCTTCATATATTTTGCTCCATTTGTTTATGGTGATGTTAGCTTAACTCCCGAACAAGTAGCACAAAGAAAATGGTTGAACATGGAGTTACATTTCGCCAAATAAATTAATAACTCTATTTAAAAATGTTTTTAGAAATTTATATACAGAAAAGTTATACGTTGATAGTTGACTAAATTAAAAAAAGTTGTATTTATAAAATGATATATGTTTGCATATGTTTGCATATGTTATCAAGAGATAATAACATAAATATGTTTATTTACTTTTTCGTAGAATCAATTACGCACAGGGAAAGGCAGTTTTCTGTGCATTTTTGTAATAATTTCATTATAGTTTGGTTCATTTTCTGCATGAACAAAACCATGCCTAATCAAAAACTCAAGCATGATTAACCCAGAATTAGGTTTGAACTCATCATTAAATAAGGCATATATGACCTCCTGTAAAGACATTAATTGGAAGCTTTCCACTTCACCATCGTTTGGTCTTGGAATAACGTCCTCAGGAAGTTTCATATCAAACAAGTGTTCCACTTCTCCCACAACAAAACTTTTCTCCTCATCAAAAGTATCAGTTCTTATGTCATTGCTGTAATGTAAATACGACACTAACCCTACAGGAGTAATGTATTTCTCAACTATACTCTTCGATAGATTTGCTTCTTCCATACTCTCTTTTAAAACAGTTTCATGAACGCCATATGGATAAGCCAACCCCCCAGCAATGATATTATCCAACATATTTGGCCATGTTTGTTTCGATTTAGATCTTCTAGGTATCCAAAATTTAATCTCATTAGTACTTTTTTCAACTGTATAACCATTAATATGTATCCCATAAGTTACGATACCTAAGGCACCTGCCATAGATCTCTCTACTAAAATATAGAGATTTTTATCAACATAAACCGGATATTTCTCATCTCTCCAACCTTTGATCTCTTTCAAAGTTGATTTATGATATAATTCAAGAGCCAATTCATCTAATAAACGATTTCTCTCTTCAAAATCATGACTTTTAAACCTTATTTCATGTTCAATTTCGTCAATTGTGAAAAGTTCTTGGAATAAATCGCTGTTGACCCTCACCATCTCATCAATTGCAAACCTCAACACAAACCCAAGCTTCTCAGCACCATCATGAGTCACCATATAATAGACTTTATCTTTAAAATTATCATATCCATCATAATCAACAGGCAATTTATCTGTTCTTTCCACTACTTTTAAAAATGAAGAACATTTGGATACATCCATTTCAGTTCTAACCAGACATTGTCTACCAAATTCATTCAAAACCACTTTGACCATCTTTAGAAACCTTCAAGTCTCTTATATCTGAAATCATCCAATATTTAAAGTGAAGTCTTTATGATGCCTTGTCTTTATAATTATCGTTACTTCGGGGTTATTTGTAGTATGAAATTGTTAAATTAGATATCATTGAAAAATTGTTGATGTAATTTAATACATGATTATCATAAAATGAAGGCTAAAAAGCTGATCTACAAGACCAGAAAGTATCGGTTAAAGTTGATATTGTGAAGTTAATTATGAGTCAAACGTTGAAATCCTTCTTACTGCATTTAAGGAACAATTATATCACTAAATTAGGGAGCAGTTCTAGATTGAAAATTGCTATTGGTAACGAATCTGCAGATTTTGATTCAGTTGTTTCAGCAATTGGCTATGCCTACTGTGACTATATTTCAGGGCATCAGGACGGTTATATTGTTCCTGTTATCAATGTCAATAGACCTGATTTGAAGATGAGGAGGGACATTGTCTTTGCACTTCAGAAATTTGACATAGATGATGATTTATTATTCTTTAAAGAAGATTTAGAAGAATGGAGTGGAAGGTCGGTGTCCATTGAAGCCGTTCTAGTCGACCATAATGTCATTTCAAGATCCATTAAAGAATTTGTGGGTAGTATTAGCAGCGTTATTGATCATCACAAAGACGAAGGGCTATATTTGGATGCTACACCAAGAATTGTTAAGACAACAGGAAGTTGTTCGTCCTTGGTTTTCAATTATTGGCAAGAAAAGCTAGGTAACAATCCTAGCTTAAATCCAATTGTCCCTTTATTACTTGGTGCAGTCTTAATCGATACTTCAAATTATCAATATAAAGTAGAGACTCCCGATATAGAGGCATTGGAGAGATACAAGATGTATCCTACATATATAGAAAGGAACAGATACTATGAAGAGTTGAAAACTGCAAAAGATGATATTAAAGGATTATCTATTATTGAAATTTTGAGGAAAGATTATAAACAGTTCGTTTTCACAAAAAATAATACTAAAATTACAATTGGTATTGCGTCAATCGTCAAATCTATGGATTGGTTATATAATGAATACAATGGTTCTCAAAATTTCGAAGATGGTTGTCTGCAATTTTTAAACTCTAAAGACATTGACATCCTTCTGCTAATGACTGCATGGAGTGATGAGAATGGTTTCAATAGAGAACTAGTGGCGATTCCAAAACCTGAATTTGCGAAGTTGTCAAATACATTGATCAACCAGGTAAATGATAAATTGGAATTGAAACCTGTAAGTAACGGGAATATCAAAAGAGCAAGTCTGGATTCAAGTCCAACATTAGCATTTAAACAACTTAACACACAAGCTAGCAGAAAACAAGTAGCACCATATATCGAAGAAGCTTTCAAAAATTTGAACTAAGCAGGTGTAAAAGAAGAAGGGGAAGATGTTATCAGAGGAACATAAGACACGTTCCATCCATTCAACGATCTTGCATCTTCAGGTATACTTTTATTGACATTTTTGATGTTTTCAATGAAGTCATTATACGGTAACTCCATCACAGAAATGTTCTCAATATTGACTTTAGAACACAATTCTTGGTCAATATCTTCCTTGTATAGTAATTTTATAGAATTTTTGTATATCTGACCATTAGTAAAACTCACGTTTATCCCTATTGCGAAAACCCAAATGAATAGATGATCTTTGCCGTTCCTTAGTATAAAATATCTTACCGAATTATTAATTACATGACTGGATATTGACGATATTACATGTTGTTCTGGGGGGAACCTTTCAATATCATTTAAAAGCAAACACCATTTATTTAATTTTAAAAGACCATCGTTTTCTACAACACCTAATAGTGAATCACAAGAGACACAGACAACTGATCCTTCTGCTATAGTAATACGACTGCTATCCAATGTCAATTGCGAACAACATAAAACGGAAGGTCCCAAAAGGAGCTCACCTTGAGAAGGTTGCAACGAATTGTACTTTTTAGAATAATCGACGACTGCCTGCCCTTCAACATGAGGTTTATGGCAATGCCAATAATCCATAAGTTCCATCCAAAACTCCGAGGGCAAACTATTAAGTTTAGTAACATTGTCCCCCTTCTGTAACAATACTTTCTTACATCCAATACAACTAAATGAAATATGGCCCATGCTCAATAACCATTTTTTCGACCATTTCTCTTCTAAATCCATAGCCATAGATAAAACATTGACCCTATCGCCAAAATATCTCAAACGAGAAGAATAACACAAACCATTCTGCACAAACCGTAACTCAGAACCTCTCAACTTTATCTCATTGGGGAATAAAATATCAACAACCTCGAGTTTCCCAACCTCATCAACCACTTCTAACTCAATTTTAACCCCGGAAAGGCTTACAACTCGAACTGGAACTCTACCATCAACTAATATATTCAAAGAATCAACTCGAGGCAACTCCTCAACAAGATATCTCATCTCAATCTCCTGCTTTTATGACAATTTATCTCATTACTGACAGGTAATCATCTGTTTTATTCAAGTATGGAATCTTAAATATAAAGGTCATCGCGAAATATTTCAAGTTGATGATATTTAGACAACAACAATAACAACCAGAACAACCAGAACAAGAACAAGATAAAAGAAGAAAGTTGAGGGTAGAGACTGTTACGGAAGCAGTTGAATGATCTGATAAGGTTAAGTTTAATCTGGTTATTGCATTATGTCTAAGTTTAATGCTCTTAATTTCACTCCTCAGGATGAGTTGCTTGAAGCTGAAGAACATTCAAGAGAGTTACAAGTTGAAGAAAGTTTTAAAATATTTCAAAGTGCATTGTTTTATTTGAAGAGGAAGAAGTTTGATGAGGCTGGTGAGAAATTCGATGAATTGTTTGATATGGCTGTTTTGAAGCCTAATGATTGGGGTTTCTATAAATTTTCATCGCCGACTTTAGATAGTTTACGGTATTTGGCCTATCGTAATCGAGGGATGTATTATTTTAGTTATTTAATGGAGAATTATAAGAGTATGGAATCGGATGATGTTGTAACTTATATTCTTAAAGTTGTGGAAGATTTATCCGAATCTATTCAGCATAGTAGTAATGCTGATTCTTCGGTAACCGAGCTTTTAGTCAAGATTTTTAAAGCCTTCAAAACAGTTAAGTTAGAGAGATTGATTTTGGAATATGAAGTTACCAGACAAGATAATCAGTTATTATTATTGGGACGTAAAAAAATTGGTATACTACCACAATTAAATTTAATACTAAATGATTATTATTCTTTGTTAGAAGGTATAAAGGACGACGAAACTTTAAACAACTCTGCCTTTATCAACAGGTTAAAAAATTATTCAATAATAACATCAGAGGATAAAGTCATCGAATTGAATGAAATGCTATTGAATATTCAAGAAATGAAAACCCAAGATGAAGAAACAATGAAAAAATTAGATATTTTCGAGATTACCATAAACGATATAAGCTGGGACTCAATAGCCGATTCATTAAAGGATTTGATTCCTCATGTGAAAACTAGTACATTACTCTCCAGAGAAATTGAT